CTTGTATCTCGGCTTCCCACTAATTTATTGTAGGTTGTATGACTTTATCAATTTTTGAGATAATAATAATAATAATAATAATAATAATAATAATAATAATAATAATAATAATAATAATAATAATAATAATAATAATAATAGTAAGATTTAGCCAATGTGCTACTGCAACTTTTTTAACATTTATTATTTACAAACAAAACAATTTATATAAATTCAATTATAAGATTGCCTCAAAAAATATCAATCAATCAATAATAACATAATACTAAAACAGACACTAGCAATGACATGTGTCACTTTCTAGTGATGTTTTTTTTTCCTTCCAAATATTTTTTTTTGTCAAATCTTCTGCAAATATATTTACCATATAGTTATAATATAACCTTCCTATTTGACGACCACCATATTTTTTTTCAAACACTAAAAAAGATTCACGTCATTTATATTATAGCAAATATCTAAAATTTCTACCAAAATATTATTCCACATAGCGCTAATATATTTTTCCAAATTAAATCTTCAAATGCATGACACAAGTCATTTCATAATTAAAAATCTTTCCTCCATTTTTTGTCCTTGTAAAATTTCAAGAAAAAAATTTTGAACGCATAATATATATATATTCTTTCAATTTAACAATCATATTTTCTCCACATACACTCAACTGGAATATTTTTTCATATATTTCAAATATTTTATATTTTGTATGTAAAAAAAAATGAACAAAGATTAAGTAAATATTAAATTAATAATTTTATCTAAGATTATTCCTATAATATTATTTATATTAAATATAAAATCCCCTAGACCTTAATTATGTTATTTTTTTAAATTTTTTTATAAATAAAGTCTTTCTTTTTTTACAAGAAGAAAAAGGTATTTCATAAATAAAATATAGCTAAACGGAACTTACATATAATTCCAAAGAAATCAAGAATTTCAGCACATACAAGTACATAACACCTTATAACTAAATCCATCGCAGATTTGATTAATAATTGCCTTAATAAAAAATTTCATCTGAAGCAATATAATATGTGAGTTAGCTCTGATTCGGCTTGAAATCCACGGATGCGTAGGCGTTTTAGTGAAAATACTCATGTGGTCCTCTGGATTCTTATGCAGATTATGAAACCCTAAATTTTCAATTCTCGCCATACAAACCAAAAAATAAAAATAAACACAAGAGAAAAATCATCATCTCAATGATGATATCTATTTATTGAAAGCAAATAAGAAGTTTTTGGGGCTTACCACCGGTAAGAACCAGGGGCGTAGCTAGGAATTAAAAGCTAACGGGTCGGGGCCAAGCCTATTATTTTCGAGGGACAAATTATCTTTTGTGCTAGTATTGACAATAAAAATTTCTCCATACAAAGACTCAAAGTTCATCATTTTACCTTGTCATTCAAACAAATCACAAGACAACTACGAAAAACTTTGCAGTAAAAGTTAAAACTACTCTAAATTAATAAAAAAAATTAATAAAAAATAAGAGAAGCATATAAACTAGCAATATATAACATTTAAATTTTAGAAAGTTACGTGTTTTTTTGAATGTATGTTATAACATCATATACAAAGGCAAACTCTACTCTAATTCAAAAACAATTAACAAAAATAAGTAGAAACATAAATTAGCAATATTGAACATTTAGATCTTAGAAAGTACATGTGTTTTTTTGAATGTATTTCATAACATCATTTAATGAAATATCATAAAATCATAAAATATCATACACAGGAAAAATTATGATGATCATCAATTAATAAATTATCATAAATGAATAAAATTTAGACAAAGTATTATTGACTTTGAAGCATTGAATCTTCATTTGTCATCTCATAAAAGAAAAAATAAAGTGGGATTATAAATGAAAAAAAAAAAACAGCCAGCCAAATTATTAAAGAATTTTTTTTTTGAAGAAATTTTTTAAAGATAATAAAAGAGAAAAAAAAAATAAATAAAGAAGTGGGATTATAAAAGAAAAAAAAAAACACCCAAATTATACAAGAAAAATTAAAGAGAAAAGCAAAGTGAGAGAGCTAGGAGAATAGAACAAGTGACCATGTGTGCTATCATGTACTACCTATACACCACTAAAGCAAGACCATTTATGTGAAGTTAATATTCACTTAATAATACATATACAATAAATTTACAGGGGCCCAAGTTAAAAAATTATGGGCCGCGGGGCTAGGCTACGGAGGCCAGGCCCTTGTCAGCCCTCCTTGTAGCTATAGATGTCAAGTCCTCTCCCAATCGCGAGACTGGTGAGGAGGATGTGACCAAAGTTCATTTTCCTTATGCTGCAGGTGTCTTGCTGGTTCATCCCGGTGTGGTGATCGATAAAGGTCGAATTTATATCTACTACAGCGAGGATTACACTTCTAAAGTCTTCAAAAGCTTTGAAGAAAGGATAAGTTACTTACTGATGGAGTCATAAAAGTATATTATTTAATTTTATTAAACTCTCGATTTTATATTGATATTTAATGGTTTAATGATATACTAAGTGATTTTCTTCCCAAGACACAATTTACTACTATTTTATTTATTTGGTTGTAGGAAGGAAGATTACGATAGCAAAGTGATATTTTATTACCGCCCGGATTAAACGAAGCAAAGCTCACAAGCCCAATCAACTCACATGTGTGTCAACCCAATAATGTTTCATAGCAAATAGCCAAGTGGACCATGAACTCATGAAGTACACCAACTGGCTACTCAGTCAAAACAAAAGAAAAAAAAGAAGAACAAGAGAACTCCTCTCATTGTTTATTGCAGGTAAGGCACAAATAAATCTTGAGCGATTTTTGCGGGAAATAAAATTGTCAAGCAAGAAGAGATAAAGATGAAATTGGATAATAATTGGAGGGGGAGATTCGGATTAGCCGGAGATCGGCTGCAACAAAACAAGAAAAGCAATAGAGTCCCGTATTTTTGGGGATTCTGGAGATTAATTTGGGGATTACTCTGGGCAGCGAATTACGGAGGAGAAAACCGAATTGCATGATAGAGGGGGCTGATACTTGACAACTTGGGAAAAAGAGAGCAGCGACAACGGCGAGCTTATTCTCTTGGTGGTATTAGCTAAGTTGATTGTTAGTTACTTAATTTGGTAATACTATAATTTTGTTTTAAGAATTGAAGTGAAAAAGTCACGTTTTGCTTCTTACTTTTCACCATTTTCGTGGTTGGTATTAGAATTTGATTACTTAGTTTATCAAGTTTTCATTTTCAATTACTTTTTGCTTTGTTAATTATGAATTCCATAGTTTCTACTTTTGTTCTTATTCTTAGTATGTCAGGCTAGAGTTGTCGTGGGTACGGAGATATAGTATACATTGGATTATGGTTGTGAGAATAAGAATGTGGTAATTTGATAGTATAATGTTTATTTCTTGATTGGTTTGATAATCTATTTTATTAGTATGAATTGCCAGATTATATTATAGACAGGCCATCTTTAGTATAATTTGTTAGTTTAATTGCTAGAGTACTACCGTGTGATACGTAATTGTCCGGGTTAGTATTCCTTAGTAGCACTTAGGTATTTGATAGGTGACTGAAACTTGTCCGATGTCTAAGATTATCAACCCTTTGAGTTGCACAAATCCGAGCTTGTGAGATTTGTGGCTTAAGTTAACTTTTCTAGTTATTAATGCTACTAATTAATCGAGTCTAGAGAGCTTGTTCTAGATTGTTAGTTAGTTAGACAATACTTCAAGAGCTTGTTTGGTTTATTTGCAATTAAGGGAAGTGTTGAATGTTTGTTTGTGTTCATCGGCTAACATTGAGATAAGAACATAATTTTTATAATTCGATGATCAACAAATACTCCAATGCTATAATATGTCTCCCGATCCCTGTTTTATTATTATTGATTTTTATCATATTTCAATTTTAGTAGTCTTTCTTTCGTACTTTATTTGTCCCATAGTTCATAGTAGTTTATTTATTAGATCGTAGTACTATTTCTTCATAACAGGGGTTTCTAACTTACACAAGTTATAATTTAATAAATCAATTCTCTGTGGGATCGACCCTAGCTTACCCTACTACATTTTAGGAGGTTGGAGTTAGGTTTATTTTTGGTAGACACGCGACAGTCGTACCAAATTTTGGCGTCGTTGCCGGGGAATTGGCGTTTTATTTTATTATTTTTTGTGTTTTTCTAACTGTTCTTACTAACTTGTCACCTAGTTCCTTGTTCTTGTATGTGTGACAGAAATTTGAAACATCAAAGATTGAGAAATTTTGCGGCAAGGAACCAGGGACTTATAATTCATCCTTTTTCTACTCTTCCTGTAGCTAAAAGGACTCGTGCTCATATACTGGAGCAAGCTCGTCATATTCCGTTACCTCACAGTGAAAGTTCATCTTCGGATGAGGAGGGTGAATATATTTTTGAGATGGGTGATCAAACACTAAAGCAGCTTGCAGCTCCAACGTTTGATCCAAATTTATTGTGCATAGTAGACGATGAGGCAGAAATTGAGATCAAGCCGGGGTTGATTAGAGCTCTTCCCACATTTTCAGGTTTCCGTAATACTAACTCCTTGGGTTCAGTTCACATGAATGAGGCTAGCAGATTTTTGAAGGAATTTCACATAGCATGTGCGGGGATGAAACCGGCTGGTGTCACCCTCGACCAGCTCAAGTTGAAGGCATTTCCTTTTGCCTTGTCTGATGCTGCCAAGGAGTGGTTATTTGAAGTACCTGCTGGAACCATCACAACATAGGATCAAATGCTAAAAGTATTCGCAGAAAGATATTTTCCAGCATCTTTGATAGCCAATATCAGGAAAGAAATATGTGGAATTCGACAGGACGATGCAGAGACACTTCATGAGTACTGGGAACGTTTCAAGAAACTATGTGATAGTTGCCCAAACCATTAGATCAGTGAGCAATTATTAATACAGTACTTTTACGAAGGACTCAGGGAGACAGACAGGAATCTAGTTGATGCAGCAAGTGGTGGAGCACTGGTTGACAAAACACCCGCAGAGGCAAAGAAACTGATTGCAAACATGGCTGCAAACTCTCAGTATCGAGGAGGTCGAAATATCACGTCCACCTCTATACGTCAAGTTAATGAAGTGGTGAGTTCTAACCTCGAGCAACAAGTAGCTAAACTCACTTCCTTAGTGGAGCGAGTAATGATCGAAAAAGGGCAAGAAAAAGTATGTGGCCTTTGTTCAATGGTAGGACACCCAACTGATATGTGTCCTACTCTGCAAGAAGAAGAAGTGAATTCGATTGGTGGTGGTCAGGGGCAGCAAAGACGTTATGATCCATTCTCTCAGACTTATAATCCGGGGTGGAGAGATCATCCAAACCTGAGATATGGTAATGCTCAGCAGCAGGCAGGAAACTCTAACCTCAGACCACCAGCTTTCCAGCAACAGCAAGCTTCTAATCCTCCACCTGGTTTTCATCAGCAACCACAATATCAGCCGCGACCTCAAAATCAGCAAGTTTCCCAGCCACAATCGGGTAGCATGTCTCTAGAAGATATTGTGAAGGCAATGGCTGACAACACTTTGCATTTCCAGCAAGAGACAAGAAGTGGTCTAAAGAACTTGGAGAACCAAGTTTCTCAGTTATCTAACACAGTGGGAAAGCTCCAAGCTCAGAATTCTAATAAGCTTCCGAGTCAACCAGAGAGAAATCGGGAGAACGCGAGTGCAATCTCCCTGAGAAGTGGAAAGCAATTAGAGGTTCCAACGAAAAAGACTGAAGAGCTGGCAGCACACCAAGAGGAACAAAGGACTATTGTTCCAGAGCAAGATAAGCAGCCCACTAAGGTAAGATATGTTGTTTCTCCTAATACTGATCAGTTTACTTCTTCTATTCCATTTCCCAGCAGGTTATCATCTAAGAATAAGAAGAGAGAGCAAGAAAAGGAGAAAGAGACCCTGGACATTTTTCGCAAGGTTGAGGTAAACATACCTTTACTGGAAGCTATAAGACAAGTGCCGCGGTATGCAAAGTTTTTGAAGGAGTTATGCACTAACAAGAGTAGATTGAGTGGAGATGAAAAAGTCAGTGTAAGTGAGAATGTGTCTGCTGTTTTACAGAGGAAAGTTCCTCCAAAGTGCAAGGATCCAGGTATTTTTACTATACCATGTAAAATAGGTAACACGAGATACGATAAATGCATGCTAGATTTAGGAGCTTCTATTAATGTCATGCCTTTATATATCTATAAAGCTCTGAACTTAGGACCTTTGAAAGACACTCGAGTGATTATTCAGCTTGCTGACCGTTCTAATACATACCCTGTAGGAGTAGTTGAGGATGTTTTAGTGCAAGTGAATGAACTGGTATTTCCTGCTGATTTTTATGTTTTAGATATGCCAAATGATGAATCCCCTAGTGCAGCACCTATCTTATTAGGAAGACCTTTTCTGAAAACATCTAGAACTAAAATTGATGTTCACAGTGGGGTGTTGACCATGGAATTCGATGGGGAGGTTATCCGGTTTAATTTATTTGATGCCATGAGATATCCCTCTGATTGTGAATCTGTTTCTAGTATAGATGTCATTGATGCACTAACTGAGCAGGTATTCTTTCTCTTTGTTCATGATGGGTTAGATGTTGTTTTGACTGCGCCTATGGAAAAAGAAAAGTATACTGACTTGCAGGAACATTTTGAGCTTAAGGGGGAAGTTAAGGAAGCTTTTTCCTCTCTGGAAATACTTCTCGATAAGCAGTCAAGGTATGACAAACAGTTTATGCAGTTACCTGTCACTTCTAACAGATTGTTACCTTCTATTGTACAGGCCCCTGAAGTGGAACTAAAGCCACTGCCAGACCATCTCAAGTGTGCATTTTTGGGAGAAAATGACACTCTGCCAGTCATAATCGCGAGTAATCTAACTCCAAATCAAGAGCAAAAGCTGGTGCAAGTTCTGAAGGAGCATAAAACAGCTCTAGGGTGGACGATTGCTGATTTAAAAGGAATTAGTCCCTCTATGTGTCAGCACAGAATCTTATTAGAAGAGGGAGCTAAACCCGTGAGACAAGTGCAGCGACGACTTAATCCACCTATGATGGAAGTGGTGAAGAAAGAAGTAATGAAGCTTCTTGAAGTAGGGGTGATATACCCTATATCAGATAGCCCTTGGGTCAGTCCCTTGCAAGTGGTCCCAAAAAAGTCAGGAGTCACAGTGGTGGAAAACGATAAGGGAGAAATGGTTCCCACCCGAGTACAAAATGGGTGGAGAGTTTGTGTAGATTACAGAAAACTCAATTCTTTGACTCGAAAAGATCATTTTCCCTTACCATTTATTGATCAAATGGTAGAACGTCTTGCTGGTCATGCTTATTACTGTTTTCTTGACGGTTTTTCAGGTTATGTGCAGGTCCCTATAACTCCGGAGGATCAAGAAAAAACGACGTTCACATGCCCGTACGGCACGTTTGCGTATCGTCGTATGCCATTTGGACTGTGCAATGCTCCAGCGACTTTTCAGAGATGTATGGTAAGCATCTTTTCAGATTACCTTGAAAATTTCATAGAAGTTTTCATGGATGATTTCACTGTACATGGAGATTCTTTTGATAGATGCTTAGAACACCTCACTTTGGTCCTTAAACGTTGTCTTGAAACTAACCTTGTGCTTAATTCTGAAAAATGTCATTTCATGGTTCAACAAGGTATAGTTTTAAGCCATATTGTGTCGTCTGAAGGAATAAAAGTTGATAAAGCTAAAATAGATCTTATTTCTTCTCTACCTTACCCCACCTCTGTGCGGGAAGTTCGATCTTTTCTTGGCCATGCAGGGTTCTATCGCAGGTTTATCGAAGGATTCTCGAAGATTGCGCAACCACTATGCAAACTACTCCAAAAGGATGTGGAGTTCCACTTTGATGAGGCCTGTAAGCAGGCATTTGACAAGCTGAAAGACAAGTTGGTCACTGCCCCTGCTCTACAACCTCCTAACTGGGAGCTCCCATTCGAGCTGATGTGCGACGCTTCTAACTATGCTGTAGGGGCAGTGCTAGGCCAGCGAGTTGGAAAAGTTCCCCATGCCATCTACTATGCCTCAAGGACTTTGGATGCAGCTCAAGCTAATTATACTACAACTGAGAAAGAACTTTTAGCTGTAGTTTATGCTTTAGACAAATTCAGGTCTTATTTATTGGGTACTAAAATTATTGTGTTTACTGATCATGCAGCGCTGAAATATTTATGGTCAAAGGATGTATCCAAACCTAGGCTAATACGTTGGATATTATTGCTTCAACAATTTAATGTTGAAATAAAAGATAAAAAAGGTTCTGACAATAGTGTTGCTGATCATTTGAGCAGGTTAGTTATTGAAGCTGATGAAGGTAAAGTCCCAATCAATGAAGAGTTCCCCGATGAGCAGCTTCATGCCTTGAACTCAAGAACTCCGTGGTATGCTGATTTGGTGAATTTTTTAGTATCAGGGAAGTTTCCAGCCAGCTACACCAAAGCACAGAAGGACCGGATGCGTAGTATAGCAAAATACTACATATGGGATGACCCATACCTCTGGAAATACTGTGCTGATCAACTAATCAGAAGGTGCGTACCCGATTCTAAAATTCTGTCTACACTAACTTTCTGCCATTCTTATGCATGTGGGGGACATTTTGGACCAAAGAGAACCGCACGCAAGGTTTTAGAGAGTGGATTCTACTGGCCATCCATATTTAAAGATGCATATGAAATCTGTAAGGCATGTGATAGTTGTCAAAGAACAGGTACACTAGGTCCTAGGAATGAAATGCCCCAAACTCCTATCTTAATATGTGAAATCTTCGACGTTTGGGGTATGGATTTTATGGGTCCCTTCCCCTTTTCTTTCGGTTTTCAATATATTTTGCTTGCTGTCGATTATGTCTCGAAATGGGTGGAAGCTATAGCCACCCGTACTGATGACTCTAAAGTTGTTGCAGAATTTTTGAAATCAAATATTTTTGCTAGATACGGATTCCCGAGAGCCATCATCAATGACAAGGGGACACACTTTTGCAATAAGACAATAGGAGCTCTCTTGAAGAAGTATAATGTGTTTCATCGAGTGTCCACTGCATATCACCCACAAACAAATGGACAGGCAGAAGTCTCCAATCGAGAAATCAAGTCCATTCTAGAGAAGACTGTGAATCCAAACAGGAAAGATTGGAGTCTCCGCCTCAACGATGCTCTGTGGGCGTACAGAACAGAGTATAAAACTCCGATCGGGATGTCTCCTTACAGGCTTGTGTTTGGTAAACCTTGCCATCTGCCAGTAGAATTGGAACACAAAGCCTTTTGGGCCGTGAAACAATGCAATATGGAAATGGATGCAGCGAGGGAGCACAGGAAACTTCAATTGCAAGAACTTGAGGAAATCCGAAATGATGCTTTCGAGAATGCGAGAATTTACAAGGAGAAGACCAAGGCATTCCATGATGAGCGCATAACACGAAAGACATTTACAGTGGGGCAGAAAGTTCTCTTGTACCATTCTCGGCTCAAACTTTTTCCCGGTAAACTCCGTTCTCGATGGGTGGGGCCCTTTATTATTACCAAGGTGTATGACCATGGTGCGGTTGAGATTAGTAGTGAGGAGACGGGGAAGGAATTTAAGGTGAATGGTCATCGACTCAAGCCGTACTATGAGGGTCATCAGGTCCAGAACATTGAAGTGATGGAGCTAGAAGCTCCAAATTATGAAGACTAGTATGCTGTAAAGGCGTCGAGCTAATGACGATAAATAAAGCGCTCTTGGGAGGTAGCCCAAATCTAGGATTATAATTCGATTATTTTTTTCATTTTTTTTATTTTCATCATTTTATTTTAATTGTTATGCAGTGTAAAAAAAAAAAAAAGAAAACTATGAGAGAGAGAGAGAGCTTCCAGATTTCTTATATGCTTATTTTCAAATCTTTCATAGTCCTCTGGGAACAGACACATTTAATTTGCTTGGTTAAATCTGGTATTGTTTGTTACAGGACATGCTTCATAGCACACAAGCATTTGCCGGCTGATTAAAAGCCGACATCGATGTGGATATGTTGCAGCAACCTGGGAACATGCAACAAGAATATTGAGGCTGGAATTGGGGATGGAATTCAAAAGCTTTGCTTTTAATTTCTGGTCCGGCAAAGCTGCAGCATCGAAACAGTAATGAGGCAGCAGATCTGCAGTCAAGCAGTGGAGGCAACGCTTTAAGCTTGGGGGAAGAGTGGCGAACCAGATAACTACCAGCATGTTCCACTTTTTCCGGTGAGCTCGTTTCCTTATCTGTTTCTATTTTAATCCCCTTATTTTTTATTTATTTATTTTTTTTACAGTCACACATTGAGGGCAATGTGTGGATTAATCTTGGGGGAATGCATTATGTTCGGTCTCTTGCGGTCTCTTGGTATGTCTCTGGTGTGGTATGGTATTATATTGAGTCTAATAATGAAATTTGGACAGTGCATTCGGTCTCTACAATGCTTAACTTTACAGTACATTTACTCTACAATGCTTAACTTTGGCTAATAGACTTGTATATATGCAGAAAAAAAAAATTTGAAAAATTAATTCTGTAAACAATGGCTAGCCTGGTGGAAGTCAGCTTGTAATGGGGTAAAAAGAAAGAAATGAGTTAGGCATCAAAGCTTTACACTATATAAGCCAAAAAGCTTACCCATGACATGATCCATTATTAAACCCGATTTGAGCTTTATAGACCTACTTTTCTTGCGGAATGTCTGAAACATGAAATACTTGCCTATAAGATTAGTAGAGCATATCGAAGGGTAAATTGGATTATCATTGTGGTAATGATGTAAATTGGTGGTGAAGTATATATATATATTTTTTTTAAAAAGAAAAAAGGTTTCATGTTAAAGGCTCTACGTACCAATGTATGGGTTAAAAAAAAAAAAAACCATATAAGTACGTGTGATGTTTTATGTATCGTGATTGAGTAACTCGAGTTAGTAAATCCGTAGGGGTATCTTAAAACCTAGTGCCTTGGGCCAATTGGACCGGGAGTCACTGGTTGAAAGCTCGCTACATGGGTTACTTGACATGTACATGACATTAAGAGTCGTGAAACACAAGTCAAAAAAAAAAAAAAAAAAAAAAATCACGAAGTTTGAAGGGCTTGTTATATGAGTTCTTATATGGCGGTTGTGGTTTTGTATATGTGCTCTGCTAATCTTAATTCTTCTTCCCACATTCCGAAATGTTCTCTAAAACCTCACTTTACCTCGGCCCTGTTCTATCCTTGATTCAAGTCCTGAGGATCTTTGATTTACTCCACTACAGTGTTGACGGAAGGTAGGCTGTAATTGTTTTAAGAGTTGATAGTTGATTTTGTAATCATAAAAATGATTTGCCCCCTGCATATATACTTGACTTGACGCTGGTATTGAGCAAAGTAGAGTGATTATTACAGAATGCTTAGCTGGTTTGATGTGTCAATATATTTGGCTTGAAATTGTAATTGAGCAAGAGTGGAGTAATTGTAACATGTCAGGTTGCATACTATTATATCAAGAGTCTAACTTCTCTGTAATTTCATGTCTTTGCTTGAGGACAAGCAAAATAATAAGCTTGGGGGAGTTGATGGAGTTATAAAAGTATATTATTTAATTTTATTAAACTCTCGATTTTATATTGATATTTAATGGTTTAATGATATACTAAGTGATTTTCTTCCCAAGACACAATTTACTACTATTTTATTTATTTGGTTGTAGGAAGGAAGATTACGATAGCAAAGTGATATTTTATTACCGCCCGGATTAAACGAAGCAAAGCTCACAAGCCTAATCAACTCACATGTGTGTCAACCCAATAATGTTTCATAGCAAATAGCCAAGTGGACCATGAACTCATGAAGTACACCAACTGGCTACTCAGTCAAAACAAAAGAAAAAAAAGAAGAACAAGAGAACTCCTCTCATTGTTTATTGCAGGTAAGGCACAAATAAATCTTGAGCGATTTTTGCGGGAAATAAAATTGTCAAGCAAGAAGAGATAAAGATGAAATTGGATAATAATTGGAGGGGGAGATTCGGATTAGCCGGAGATCGGCTGCAACAAAACAAGAAAAGCAATAGAGTCCCGTATTTTTGGGGATTCTGGAGATTAATTTGGGGATTACTCTGGGCAGCGAATTACGGAGGAGAAAACCGAATTGCATGATAGAGGGGGCTGATACTTGACAACTTGGGAAAAAGAGAGCAGCGACAACGGCGAGCTTATTCTCTTGGTGGTATTAGCTAAGTTGATTGTTAGTTACTTAATTTGGTAATACTATAATTTTGTTTTAAGAATTGAAGTGAAAAAGTCACGTTTTGCTTCTTACTTTTCACCATTTTCGTGGTTGGTATTAGAATTTGATTACTTAGTTTATCAAGTTTTCATTTTCAATTACTTTTTGCTTTGTTAATTATGAATTCCATAGTTTCTACTTTTGTTCTTATTCTTAGTATGTCAGGCTAGAGTTGTCGTGGGTACGGAGATATAGTATACATTGGATTATGGTTGTGAGAATAAGAATGTGGTAATTTGATAGTATAATGTTTATTTCTTGATTGGTTTGATAATCTATTTTATTAGTATGAATTGCCAGATTATATTATAGACAGGCCATCTTTAGTATAATTTGTTAGTTTAATTGCTAGAGTACTACCGTGTGATACGTAATTGTCCGGGTTAGTATTCCTTAGTAGCACTTAGGTATTTGATAGGTGACTGAAACTTGTCCGATGTCTAAGATTATCAACCCTTTGAGTTGCACAAATCCGAGCTTGTGAGATTTGTGGCTTAAGTTAACTTTTCTAGTTATTAATGCTACTAATTAATCGAGTCTAGAGAGCTTGTTCTAGATTGTTAGTTAGTTAGACAATACTTCAAGAGCTTGTTTGGTTTATTTGCAATTAAGGGAAGTGTTGAATGTTTGTTTGTGTTCATCGGCTAACATTGAGATAAGAACATAATTTTTATAATTCGATGATCAACAAATACTCCAATGCTATAATATGTCTCCCGATCCCTGTTTTATTATTATTGATTTTTATCATATTTCAATTTTAGTAGTCTTTCTTTCGTACTTTATTTGTCCCATAGTTCATAGTAGTTTATTTATTAGATCGTAGTACTATTTCTTCATAACAGGGGTTTCTAACTTACACAAGTTATAATTTAATAAATCAATTCTCTGTGGGATCGACCCTAGCTTACCCTACTACATTTTAGGAGGTTGGAGTTAGGTTTATTTTTGGTAGACACGCGACAGTCGTACCAAATTTTGGCGTCGTTGCCGGGGAATTGGCGTTTTATTTTATTATTTTTTGTGTTTTTCTAACTGTTCTTACTAACTTGTCACCTAGTTCCTTGTTCTTGTATGTGTGACAGAAATTTGAAACATCAAAGATTGAGAAATTTTGCGGCAAGGAACCAGGGACTTATAATTCATCCTTTTTCTACTCTTCCTGTAGCTAAAAGGACTCGTGCTCATATACTGGAGCAAGCTCGTCATATTCCGTTACCTCACAGTGAAAGTTCATCTTCGGATGAGGAGGGTGAATATATTTTTGAGATGGGTGATCAAACACTAAAGCAGCTTGCAGCTCCAACGTTTGATCCAAATTTATTGTGCATAGTAGACGATGAGGCAGAAATTGAGATCAAGCCGGGGTTGATTAGAGCTCTTCCCACATTTTCAGGTTTCCGTAATACTAACTCCTTGGGTTCAGTTCACATGAATGAGGCTAGCAGATTTTTGAAGGAATTTCACATAGCATGTGCGGGGATGAAACCGGCTGGTGTCACCCTCGACCAGCTCAAGTTGAAGGCATTTCCTTTTGCCTTGTCTGATGCTGCCAAGGAGTGGTTATTTTGAAGTACCTGCTGGAACCATCACAACATAGGATCAAATGCTAAAAGTATTCGCAGAAAGATATTTTCCAGCATCTTTGATAGCCAATATCAGGAAAGAAATATGTGGAATTCGACAGGACGATGCAGAGACACTTCATGAGTACTGGGAACGTTTCAAGAAACTATGTGATAGTTGCCCAAACCATTAGATCAGTGAGCAATTATTAATACAGTACTTTTACGAAGGACTCAGGGAGACAGACAGGAATCTAGTTGATGCAGCAAGTGGTGGAGCACTGGTTGACAAAACACCCGCAGAGGCAAAGAAACTGATTGCAAACATGGCTGCAAACTCTCAGTATCGAGGAGGTCGAAATATCACGTCCACCTCTATACGTCAAGTTAATGAAGTGGTGAGTTCTAACCTCGAGCAACAAGTAGCTAAACTCACTTCCTTAGTGGAGCGAGTAATGATCGAAAAAGGGCAAGAAAAAGTATGTGGCCTTTGTTCAATGGTAGGACACCCAACTGATATGTGTCCTACTCTGCAAGAAGAAGAAGTGAATTCGATTGGTGGTGGTCAGGGGCAGCAAAGACGTTATGATCCATTCTCTCAGACTTATAATCCGGGGTGGAGAGATCATCCAAACCTGAGATATGGTAATGCTCAGCAGCAGGCAGGAAACTCTAACCTCAGACCACCAGCTTTCCAGCAACAGCAAGCTTCTAATCCTCCACCTGGTTTTCATCAGCAACCACAATATCAGCCGCGACCTCAAAATCAGCAAGTTTCCCAGCCACAATCGGGTAGCATGTCTCTAGAAGATATTGTGAAGGCAATGGCTGACAACACTTTGCATTTCCAGCAAGAGACAAGAAGTGGTCTAAAGAACTTGGAGAACCAAGTTTCTCAGTTATCTAACACAGTGGGAAAGCTCCAAGCTCAGAATTCTAATAAGCTTCCGAGTCAACCAGAGAGAAATCGGGAGAACGCGAGTGCAATCTCCCTGAGAAGTGGAAAGCAATTAGAGGTTCCAACGAAAAAGACTGAAGAGCTGGCAGCACACCAAGAGGAACAAAGGACTATTGTTCCAGAGCAAGATAAGCAGCCCACTAAGGTAAGATATGTTGTTTCTCCTAATACTGATCAGTTTACTTCTTCTATTCCATTTCCCAGCAGGTTATCATCTAAGAATAAGAAGAGAGAGCAAGAAAAGGAGAAAGAGACCCTGGACATTTTTCGCAAGGTTGAGGTAAACATACCTTTACTGGAAGCTATAAGACAAGTGCCGCGGTATGCAAAGTTTTTGAAGGAGTTATGCACTAACAAGAGTAGATTGAGTGGAGATGAAAAAGTCAGTGTAAGTGAGAATGTGTCTGCTGTTTTACAGAGGAAAGTTCCTCCAAAGTGCAAGGATCCAGGTATTTTTTACTATACCATGTAAAATAGGTAACACGAGATACGATAAATGCATGCTAGATTTTAGGAGCTTCTATTAATGTCATGCCTTTATATATCTATAAAGCTCTGAACTTAGGACCTTTGAAAGACACTCGAGTGATTATTCAGCTTGCTGACCGTTCTAATACATACCCTGTAGGAGTAGTTTGAGGATGTTTTAGTGCAAGTGAATGAACTGGTATTTCCTGCTGATTTTTATGTTTTAGATATGCCAAATGATGAATCCCCTAGTGCAGCACCTATCTTTATTAGGAAGACCTTTTCTGAAAACATCTAGAACTAAAATTGATGTTCACAGTGGGGTGTTGACCATGGAATTCGATGGGGAGGTTATCCGGTTTAATTTATTTGATGCCATGAGATATCCCTCTGATTGTGAATCTGTTTCTAGTATAGATGTCATTGATGCACTAACTGAGCAGGTATTCTTTCTCTTTGTTCATGATGGGTTAGATGTTGTTTTTGACTGCGGCCTATGGAAAAAGAAAAGTATACTGACTTGCAGGAACATTTTGAGCTTAAGGGGAAGTTAAGGAAGCTTTTTCCTCTCTGGAAATACTTCTCGATAAGCAGTCAAGGTATGACAAACAGTTTATGCAGTTACCTGTCACTTCTAAACAGATTGTTACCTTCTATTGTACAGGCCCCTGAAGTGGAACTAAAGCCACTGCCAGACCATCTCAAGTGTGCATTTTTGGGAGAAAATGACACTCTGCCAGTCATAATCGCGAGTAATCTAACTCCAAATCAAGAGCAAAAGCTGGTGCAAGTTCTGAAGGAGCATAAAACAGCTCTAGGTGGACGATTGCTGATTTTAAAAGGAATTAGTCCCTCTATGTGTCAGCACAGAATCTTATTAGAAGAGGGAGCTAAACCCGTGAGACAAGTGCAGCGACGACTTAATCCACCTATGATGGAAGTGGTGAAGAAAGAAGTAATGAAGCTTCTTGAAGTAGGGGTGATATACCCTATATTCAGATAGCCCTTGGGTCAGTCCCTTGCAAGTGGTCCCAAAAAAGTCAGGAGTCACAGTGGTGGAAAACGATAAGGGAGAAATGGTTCCCACCCGAGTACAAAATGGGTGGAGAGTTTGTGTAGATTACAGAAAACTCAATTCTTTGACTCGAAAAGATCATTTTCCCTTACCATTTATTGATCAAATGGTAGAACGTCTTGCTGGTCATGCTTATTACTGTTTTCTTGACGGTTTTTCAGGTTATGTGCAGGTCCCTATAACTCCGGAGGATCAAGAAAAAACGACGTTCACATGCCCGTACGGCACGTTTGCGTATCGTCGTATGCCATTTGGACTGTGCAATGCTCCAGCGACTTTTCAGAGATGTATGGTAAGCATCTTTCAGATTACCTTGAAAATTTCATAGAAGTTTTCATGGATGATTTCACTGTACATGGAGATTCTTTTGATAGATGCTTAGAACACCTCACTTTGGTCCTTAAACGTTGTCTTGAAACTAACCTTGTGCTTAATTCTGAAAAATGTCATTTTCATGGTTCAACAAGGTATAGTTTTAAGCCATATTGTGTCGTCTGAAGGAATAAAAGTTGATAAAGCTAAAATAGATCTTATTTCTTCTCTACCTTACCCCACCTCTGTGCGGGAAGTTCGATCTTTTCTTGGCCATGCAGGGTTCTATCGCAGGTTTATCGAAGGATTCTCGAAGATTGCGCAACCACTATGCAAACTACTCCAAAAGGATGTGGAGTTCCACTTTGATGAGGCCTGTAAGCAGGCATTTGACAAGCTGAAAGACAAGTTGGTCACTGCCCCTGCTCTACAACCTCCTAACTGGGAGCTCCCATTCGAGCTGATGTGCGACGCTTCTAACTATGCTGTAGGGGCAGTGCTAGGCCAGCGAGTTGGAAAAGTTCCCCATGCCATCTACTATGCCTCAAGGACTTTGGATGCAGCTCAAGCTAATTATACTACAACTGAGAAAGAACTTTTAGCTGTAGTTTATGCTTTAGACAAATTCAGGTCTTATTTATTGGGTACTAAAATTATTGTGTTTACTGATCATGCAGCGCTGAAATATTTATGGTCAAAGGATGTATCCAAACCTAGGCTAATACGTTGGATATTATTGCTTCAACAATTTAATGTTGAAATAAAAGATAAAAAAGGTTCTGACAATAGTGTTGCTGATCATTTTGAGCAGGTTAGTTATTGAAGCTGATGAAGGTAAAGTCCCAATCAATGAAGAGTTCCCCGATGAGCAGCTTCATGCCTTGAACTCAAGAACTCCGTGGTATGCTGATTTGGTGAATTTTTTAGTATCAGGGAAGTTTCCAGCCAGCTACACCAAAGCACAGAAGGACCGGATGCGTAGTATAGCAAAATACTACATATGGGATGACCCATACCTCTGGAAATACTGTGCTGATCAACTAATCAGAAGGTGCGTACCCGATTCTAAAATTCTGTCTACACTAACTTTCTGCCATTCTTATGCATGTGGGGGACATTTTGGACCAAAGAGAACCGCACGCAAGGTTTTAGAGAGTGGATTCTACTGGCCATCCCATATTTAAAGATGCATATGAAATCTGTAAGGCATGTGATAGTTGTCAAAGAACAGGTACACTAGGTCCTAGGAATGAAATGCCCCAAACTCCTATCTTAATATGTGAAATCTTCGACGTTTGGGGTATGGATTTTATGGGTCCCTTCCCCTTTTCTTTCGGTTTTCAATATATTTTGCTTGCTGTCGATTATGTCTCGAAATGGGTGGAAGCTATAGCCACCCGTACTGATGACTCTAAAGTTGTTGCAGAATTTTTGAAATCAAATATTTTTGCTAGATACGGATTCCGAGAGCCATCATCAATGACAAGGGGACACACTTTTGCAATAAGACAATAGGAGCTCTCTTGAAGAAGTATAATGTGTTTCATCGAGTGTCCACTGCATATCACCCACAAACAAATGGACAGGCAGAAGTCTCCAATCGAGAAATCAAGTCCATTCTAGAGAAGACTGTGAATCCAAACAGGAAAGATTGGAGTCTCCGCCTCAACGATGCTCTGTGGGCGTACAGAACAGAGTATAAAACTCCGATCGGGATGTCTCCTTACAGGCTTGTGTTTGGTAAACCTTGCCATCTGCCAGTAGAATTGGAACACAAAGCCTTTTGGGCCGTGAAACAATGCAATATGGAAATGGATGCAGCGAGGGAGCACAGGAAACTTCAATTGCAAGAACTTGAGGAAATCCGAAATGATGCTTTCGAGAATGCGAGAATTTACAAGGAGAAGACCAAGGCATTCCATGATGAGCGCATAACACGAAAGACATTTACAGTGGGGCAGAAAGTTCTCTTGTACCATTCTCGGCTCAAACTTTTTTCCCGGTAAACTCCGTTCTCGATGGGTGGGGCCCTTTATTATTACCAAGGTGTATGACCATGGTGCGGTTGAGATTAGTAGTGAGGAGACGGGGAAGGAATTTAAGGTGAATGGTCATCGACTCAAGCCGTACTATGAGGGTCATCAGGTCCAGAACATTGAAGTGATGGAGCTAGAAGCTCCAAATTATGAAGACTAGTATGCTGTAAAGGCGTCGAGCTAATGACGATAAATAAAGCGCTCTTGGGAGGTAGCCCAAATCTAGGATTATAATTCGATTATTTTTTTCATTTTTTTTATTTTCATCATTTTATTTTAATTGTTATGCAGTGTAAAAAAAAAAAAAGAAAACTATGAGAGAGAGAGAGAGCTTCCAGATTTCTTATATGCTTATTTTCAAATCTTTCATAGTCCTCTGGGAACAGACACATTTAATTTGCTTGGTTAAATCTGGTATTGTTTGTTACAGGACATGCTTCATAGCACACAAGCATTTGCCGGCTGATTAAAAGCCGACATCGATGTGGATATGTTGCAGCAACCTGGGAACATGCAACAAGAATATTGAGGCTGGAATTGGGGATGGAATTCAAAAGCTTTGCTTTTAATTTCTGGTCCGGCAAAGCTGCAGCATCGAAACAGTAATGAGGCAGCAGATCTGCAGTCAAGCAGTGGAGGCAACGCTTTAAGCTTGGGGGAAGAGTGGCGAACCAGATAACTACCAGCATGTTCCACTTTTTCCGGTGAGCTCGTTTCCTTATCTGTTTCTATTTTAATCCCCTTATTTTTTATTTATTTATTTTTTTTACAGTCACACATTGAGGGCAATGTGTGGATTAATCTTGGGGGGAATGCATTATGTTCGGTCTCTTGCGGTCTCTTGGTATGTCTCTGGTGTGGTATGGTATTATATTGAGTCTAATAATGAAATTTGGACAGTGCATTCGGTCTCTACAATGCTTAACTTTACAGTACATTTACTCTACAATGCTTAACTTTGGCTAATAGACTTGTATATATGCAGAAAAAAAAAATTTGAAAAATTAATTCTGTAAACAATGGCTAGCCTGGTGGAAGTCAGCTTGTAATGGGGTAAAAAGAAAGAAATGAGTTAGGCATCAAAGCTTTACACTATATAAGCCAAAAAGCTTACCCATGACATGATCCATTATTAAACCCGATTTGAGCTTTATAGACCTACTTTTCTTGCGGAATGTCTGAAACATGAAATACTTGCCTATAAGATTAGTAGAGCATATCGAAGGGTAAATTGGATTATCATTGTGGTAATGATGTAAATTGGTGGTGAAGTATATATATATATTTTTTTTAAAAAGAAAAAAGGTTTCATGTTAAAGGCTCTACGTACCAATGTATGGGTTAAAAAAAAAAAAAACCATATAAGTACGTGTGATGTTTTATGTATCGTGATTGAGTAACTCGAGTTAGTAAATCCGTAGGGGTATCTTAAAACCTAGTGCCTTGGGCCAATTGGACCGGGAGTCACTGGTTGAAAGCTCGCTACATGGGTTACTTGACATGTACATGACATTAAGAGTCGTGAAACACAAGTCAAAAAAAAAAAAAAAAAAAAAAATCACGAAGTTTGAAGGGCTTGTTATATGAGTTCTTATATGGCGGTTGTGGTTTTGTATATGTGCTCTGCTAATCTTAATTCTTCTTCCCACATTCCGAAATGTTCTCTAAAACCTCACTTTACCTCGGCCCTGTTCTATCCTTGATTCAAGTCCTGAGGATCTTTGATTTACTCCACTACAGTGTTGACGGAAGGTAGGCTGTAATTGTTTTAAGAGTTGATAGTTGATTTTGTAATCATAAAAATGATTTGCCCCCTGCATATATACTTGACTTGACGCTGGTATTGAGCAAAGTAGAGTGATTATTACAGAATGCTTAGCTGGTTTGATGTGTCAATATATTTGGCTTGAAATTGTAATTGAGCAAGAGTGGAGTAATTGTAACATGTCAGGTTGCATACTATTATATCAAGAGTCTAACTTCTCTGTAATTTCATGTCTTTGCTTGAGGACAAGCAAAATAATAAGCTTGGGGGAGTTGATGGAGTTATAAAAAGTATATTATTTAATTTTATTAAACTCTCGATTTTATATTGATATTTAATGGTTTAATGATATACTAAGTGATTTTCTTCCCAAGACACAATTTACTACTATTTTATTTATTTGGTTGTAGGAAGGAAGATTACGATAGCAAAGTGATATTTTATTACCGCCCGGATTAAACGAAGCAAAGCTCACAAGCCTAATCAACTCACATGTGTGTCAACCCAATAATGTTTCATAGCAAATAGCCAAGTGGACCATGAACTCATGAAGTACACCAACTGGCTACTCAGTCAAAACAAAAGAAAAAAAAGAAGAACAAGAGAACTCCTCTCATTGTTTATTGCAGGTAAGGCACAAATAAATCTTGAGCGATTTTTGCGGGAAATAAAATTGTCAAGCAAGAAGAGATAAAGATGAAATTGGATAATAATTGGAGGGGGAGATTCGGATTAGCCGGAGATCGGCTGCAACAAAACAAGAAAAGCAATAGAGTCCCGTATTTTTGGGGATTCTGGAGATTAATTTGGGGATTACTCTGGGCAGCGAATTACGGAGGAGAAAACCGAATTGCATGATAGAGGGGGCTGATACTTGACAACTTGGGAAAAAGAGAGCAGCGACAACGGCGAGCTTATTCTCTTGGTGGTATTAGCTAAGTTGATTGTTAGTTACTTAATTTGGTAATACTATAATTTTGTTTTAAGAATTGAAGTGAAAAAGTCACGTTTTGCTTCTTACTTTTCACCATTTTCGTGGTTGGTATTAGAATTTGATTACTTAGTTTATCAAGTTTTCATTTTCAATTACTTTTTGCTTTGTTAATTATGAATTCCATAGTTTCTACTTTTGTTCTTATTCTTAGTATGTCAGGCTAGAGTTGTCGTGGGTACGGAGATATAGTATACATTGGATTATGGTTGTGAGAATAAGAATGTGGTAATTTGATAGTATAATGTTTATTTCTTGATTGGTTTGATAATCTATTTTATTAGTATGAATTGCCAGATTATATTATAGACAGGCCATCTTTAGTATAATTTGTTAGTTTAATTGCTAGAGTACTACCGTGTGATACGTAATTGTCCGGGTTAGTATTCCTTAGTAGCACTTAGGTATTTGATAGGTGACTGAAACTTGTCCGATGTCTAAGATTATCAACCCTTTGAGTTGCACAAATCCGAGCTTGTGAGATTTGTGGCTTAAGTTAACTTTTCTAGTTATTAATGCTACTAATTAATCGAGTCTAGAGAGCTTGTTCTAGATTGTTAGTTAGTTAGACAATACTTCAAGAGCTTGTTTGGTTTATTTGCAATTAAGGGAAGTGTTGAATGTTTGTTTGTGTTCATCGGCTAACATTGAGATAAGAACATAATTTTTATAATTCGATGATCAACAAATACTCCAATGCTATAATATGTCTCCCGATCCCTGTTTTATTATTATTGATTTTTATCATATTTCAATTTTAGTAGTCTTTCTTTCGTACTTTATTTGTCCCATAGTTCATAGTAGTTTATTTATTAGATCGTAGTACTATTTCTTCATAACAGGGGTTTCTAACTTACACAAGTTATAATTTAATAAATCAATTCTCTGTGGGATCGACCCTAGCTTACCCTACTACATTTTAGGAGGTTGGAGTTAGGTTTATTTTTGGTAGACACGCGACAGTCGTACCAAATTTTGGCGTCGTTGCCGGGGAATTGGCGTTTTATTTTATTATTTTTTGTGTTTTTCTAACTGTTCTTACTAACTTGTCACCTAGTTCCTTGTTCTTGTATGTGTGACAGAAATTTGAAACATCAAAGATTGAGAAATTTTGCGGCAAGGAACCAGGGACTTATAATTCATCCTTTTTCTACTCTTCCTGTAGCTAAAAGGACTCGTGCTCATATACTGGAGCAAGCTCGTCATATTCCGTTACCTCACAGTGAAAGTTCATCTTCGGATGAGGAGGGTGAATATATTTTTGAGATGGGTGATCAAACACTAAAGCAGCTTGCAGCTCCAACGTTTGATCCAAATTTATTGTGCATAGTAGACGATGAGGCAGAAATTGAGATCAAGCCGGGGTTGATTAGAGCTCTTCCCACATTTTCAGGTTTCCGTAATACTAACTCCTTGGGTTCAGTTCACATGAATGAGGCTAGCAGATTTTTGAAGGAATTTCACATAGCATGTGCGGGATGAAACCGGCTGGTGTCACCCTCGACCAGCTCAAGTTGAAGGCATTTCCTTTTGCCTTGTCTGATGCTGCCAAGGAGTGGTTATTTGAAGTACCTGCTGGAACCATCACAACATAGGATCAAATGCTAAAAGTATTCGCAGAAAGATATTTTCCAGCATCTTTGATAGCCAATATCAGGAAAGAAATATGTGGAATTCGACAGGACGATGCAGAGACACTTCATGAGTACTGGGAACGTTTCAAGAAACTATGTGATAGTTGCCCAAACCATTAGATCAGTGAGCAATTATTAATACAGTACTTTTACGAAGGACTCAGGGAGACAGACAGGAATCTAGTTGATGCAGCAAGTGGTGGAGCACTGGTTGACAAAACACCCGCAGAGGCAAAGAAACTGATTGCAAACATGGCTGCAAACTCTCAGTATCGAGGAGGTCGAAATATCACGTCCACCTCTATACGTCAAGTTAATGAAGTGGTGAGTTCTAACCTCGAGCAACAAGTAGCTAAACTCACTTCCTTAGTGGAGCGAGTAATGATCGAAAAAGGGCAAGAAAAAGTATGTGGCCTTTGTTCAATGGTAGGACACCCAACTGATATGTGTCCTACTCTGCAAGAAGAAGAAGTGAATTCGATTGGTGGTGGTCAGGGGCAGCAAAGACGTTATGATCCATTCTCTCAGACTTATAATCCGGGGTGGAGAGATCATCCAAACCTGAGATATGGTAATGCTCAGCAGCAGGCAGGAAACTCTAACCTCAGACCACCAGCTTTCCAGCAACAGCAAGCTTCTAATCCTCCACCTGGTTTTCATCAGCAACCACAATATCAGCCGCGACCTCAAAATCAGCAAGTTTCCCAGCCACAATCGGGTAGCATGTCTCTAGAAGATATTGTGAAGGCAATGGCTGACAACACTTTGCATTTCCAGCAAGAGACAAGAAGTGGTCTAAAGAACTTGGAGAACCAAGTTTCTCAGTTATCTAACACAGTGGGAAAGCTCCAAGCTCAGAATTCTAATAAGCTTCCGAGTCAACCAGAGAGAAATCGGGAGAACGCGAGTGCAATCTCCCTGAGAAGTGGAAAGCAATTAGAGGTTCCAACGAAAAAGACTGAAGAGCTGGCAGCACACCAAGAGGAACAAAGGACTATTGTTCCAGAGCAAGATAAGCAGCCCACTAAGGTAAGATATGTTGTTTCTCCTAATACTGATCAGTTTACTTCTTCTATTCCATTTCCCAGCAGGTTATCATCTAAGAATAAGAAGAGAGAGCAAGAAAAGGAGAAAGAGACCCTGGACATTTTTCGCAAGGTTGAGGTAAACATACCTTTACTGGAAGCTATAAGACAAGTGCCGCGGTATGCAAAGTTTTTGAAGGAGTTATGCACTAACAAGAGTAGATTGAGTGGAGATGAAAAAGTCAGTGTAAGTGAGAATGTGTCTGCTGTTTTACAGAGGAAAGTTCCTCCAAAGTGCAAGGATCCAGGTATTTTTACTATACCATGTAAAATAGGTAACACGAGATACGATAAATGCATGCTAGATTTAGGAGCTTCTATTAATGTCATGCCTTTATATATCTATAAAGCTCTGAACTTAGGACCTTTGAAAGACACTCGAGTGATTATTCAGCTTGCTGACCGTTCTAATACATACCCTGTAGGAGTAGTTGAGGATGTTTTAGTGCAAGTGAATGAACTGGTATTTCCTGCTGATTTTTATGTTTTAGATATGCCAAATGATGAATCCCCTAGTGCAGCACCTATCTTATTAGGAAGACCTTTTCTGAAAACATCTAGAACTAAAATTGATGTTCACAGTGGGGTGTTGACCATGGAATTCGATGGGGAGGTTATCCGGTTTAATTTATTTGATGCCATGAGATATCCCTCTGATTGTGAATCTGTTTCTAGTATAGATGTCATTGATGCACTAACTGAGCAGGTATTCTTTCTCTTTGTTCATGATGGGTTAGATGTTGTTTTGACTGCGCCTATGGAAAAAGAAAAGTATACTGACTTGCAGGAACATTTTGAGCTTAAGGGGGAAGTTAAGGAAGCTTTTTCCTCTCTGGAAATACTTCTCGATAAGCAGTCAAGGTATGACAAACAGTTTATGCAGTTACCTGTCACTTCTAACAGATTGTTACCTTCTATTGTACAGGCCCCTGAAGTGGAACTAAAGCCACTGCCAGACCATCTCAAGTGTGCATTTTTGGGAGAAAATGACACTCTGCCAGTCATAATCGCGAGTAATCTAACTCCAAATCAAGAGCAAAAGCTGGTGCAAGTTCTGAAGGAGCATAAAACAGCTCTAGGGTGGACGATTGCTGATTTAAAAGGAATTAGTCCCTCTATGTGTCAGCACAGAATCTTATTAGAAGAGGGAGCTAAACCCGTGAGACAAGTGCAGCGACGACTTAATCCACCTATGATGGAAGTGGTGAAGAAAGAAGTAATGAAGCTTCTTGAAGTAGGGGTGATATACCCTATATCAGATAGCCCTTGGGTCAGTCCCTTGCAAGTGGTCCCAAAAAAGTCAGGAGTCACAGTGGTGGAAAACGATAAGGGAGAAATGGTTCCCACCCGAGTACAAAATGGGTGGAGAGTTTGTGTAGATTACAGAAAACTCAATTCTTTGACTCGAAAAGATCATTTTCCCTTACCATTTATTGATCAAATGGTAGAACGTCTTGCTGGTCATGCTTATTACTGTTTTCTTGACGGTTTTTCAGGTTATGTGCAGGTCCCTATAACTCCGGAGGATCAAGAAAAAACGACGTTCACATGCCCGTACGGCACGTTTGCGTATCGTCGTATGCCATTTGGACTGTGCAATGCTCCAGCGACTTTTCAGAGATGTATGGTAAGCATCTTTTCAGATTACCTTGAAAATTTCATAGAAGTTTTCATGGATGATTTCACTGTACATGGAGATTCTTTTGATAGATGCTTAGAACACCTCACTTTGGTCCTTAAACGTTGTCTTGAAACTAACCTTGTGCTTAATTCTGAAAAATGTCATTTCATGGTTCAACAAGGTATAGTTTTAAGCCATATTGTGTCGTCTGAAGGAATAAAAGTTGATAAAGCTAAAATAGATCTTATTTCTTCTCTACCTTACCCCACCTCTGTGCGGGAAGTTCGATCTTTTCTTGGCCATGCAGGGTTCTATCGCAGGTTTATCGAAGGATTCTCGAAGATTGCGCAACCACTATGCAAACTACTCCAAAAGGATGTGGAGTTCCACTTTGATGAGGCCTGTAAGCAGGCATTTGACAAGCTGAAAGACAAGTTGGTCACTGCCCCTGCTCTACAACCTCCTAACTGGGAGCTCCCATTCGAGCTGATGTGCGACGCTTCTAACTATGCTGTAGGGGCAGTGCTAGGCCAGCGAGTTGGAAAAGTTCCCCATGCCATCTACTATGCCTCAAGGACTTTGGATGCAGCTCAAGCTAATTATACTACAACTGAGAAAGAACTTTTAGCTGTAGTTTATGCTTTAGACAAATTCAGGTCTTATTTATTGGGTACTAAAATTATTGTGTTTACTGATCATGCAGCGCTGAAATATTTATGGTCAAAGGATGTATCCAAACCTAGGCTAATACGTTGGATATTATTGCTTCAACAATTTAATGTTGAAATAAAAGATAAAAAAGGTTCTGACAATAGTGTTGCTGATCATTTGAGCAGGTTAGTTATTGAAGCTGATGAAGGTAAAGTCCCAATCAATGAAGAGTTCCCCGATGAGCAGCTTCATGCCTTGAACTCAAGAACTCCGTGGTATGCTGATTTGGTGAATTTTTTAGTATCAGGGAAGTTTCCAGCCAGCTACACCAAAGCACAGAAGGACCGGATGCGTAGTATAGCAAAATACTACATATGGGATGACCCATACCTCTGGAAATACTGTGCTGATCAACTAATCAGAAGGTGCGTACCCGATTCTAAAATTCTGTCTACACTAACTTTCTGCCATTCTTATGCATGTGGGGGACATTTTGGACCAAAGAGAACCGCACGCAAGGTTTTAGAGAGTGGATTCTACTGGCCATCCATATTTAAAGATGCATATGAAATCTGTAAGGCATGTGATAGTTGTCAAAGAACAGGTACACTAGGTCCTAGGAATGAAATGCCCCAAACTCCTATCTTAATATGTGAAATCTTCGACGTTTGGGGTATGGATTTTATGGGTCCCTTCCCCTTTTCTTTCGGTTTTCAATATATTTTGCTTGCTGTCGATTATGTCTCGAAATGGGTGGAAGCTATAGCCACCCGTACTGATGACTCTAAAGTTGTTGCAGAATTTTTGAAATCAAATATTTTTGCTAGATACGGATTCCCGAGAGCCATCATCAATGACAAGGGGACACACTTTTGCAATAAGACAATAGGAGCTCTCTTGAAGAAGTATAATGTGTTTCATCGAGTGTCCACTGCATATCACCCACAAACAAATGGACAGGCAGAAGTCTCCAATCGAGAAATCAAGTCCATTCTAGAGAAGACTGTGAATCCAAACAGGAAAGATTGGAGTCTCCGCCTCAACGATGCTCTGTGGGCGTACAGAACAGAGTATAAAACTCCGATCGGGATGTCTCCTTACAGGCTTGTGTTTGGTAAACCTTGCCATCTGCCAGTAGAATTGGAACACAAAGCCTTTTGGGCCGTGAAACAATGCAATATGGAAATGGATGCAGCGAGGGAGCACAGGAAACTTCAATTGCAAGAACTTGAGGAAATCCGAAATGATGCTTTCGAGAATGCGAGAATTTACAAGGAGAAGACCAAGGCATTCCATGATGAGCGCATAACACGAAAGACATTTACAGTGGGGCAGAAAGTTCTCTTGTACCATTCTCGGCTCAAACTTTTTCCCGGTAAACTCCGTTCTCGATGGGTGGGGCCCTTTATTATTACCAAGGTGTATGACCATGGTGCGGTTGAGATTAGTAGTGAGGAGACGGGGAAGGAATTTAAGGTGAATGGTCATCGACTCAAGCCGTACTATGAGGGTCATCAGGTCCAGAACATTGAAGTGATGGAGCTAGAAGCTCCAAATTATGAAGACTAGTATGCTGTAAAGGCGTCGAGCTAATGACGATAAATAAAGCGCTCTTGGGAGGTAGCCCAAATCTAGGATTATAATTCGATTATTTTTTTCATTTTTTTTATTTTCATCATTTTATTTTAATTGTTATGCAGTGTAAAAAAAAAAAAAAGAAAACTATGAGAGAGAGAGAGAGCTTCCAGATTTCTTATATGCTTATTTTCAAATCTTTCATAGTCCTCTGGGAACAGACACATTTAATTTGCTTGGTTAAATCTGGTATTGTTTGTTACAGGACATGCTTCATAGCACACAAGCATTTGCCGGCTGATTAAAAGCCGACATCGATGTGGATATGTTGCAGCAACCTGGGAACATGCAACAAGAATATTGAGGCTGGAATTGGGGATGGAATTCAAAAGCTTTGCTTTTAATTTCTGGTCCGGCAAAGCTGCAGCATCGAAACAGTAATGAGGCAGCAGATCTGCAGTCAAGCAGTGGAGGCAACGCTTTAAGCTTGGGGGAAGAGTGGCGAACCAGATAACTACCAGCATGTTCCACTTTTTCCGGTGAGCTCGTTTCCTTATCTGTTTCTATTTTAATCCCCTTATTTTTTATTTATTTATTTTTTTTACAGTCACACATTGAGGGCAATGTGTGGATTAATCTTGGGGGAATGCATTATGTTCGGTCTCTTGCGGTCTCTTGGTATGTCTCTGGTGTGGTATGGTATTATATTGAGTCTAATAATGAAATTTGGACAGTGCATTCGGTCTCTACAATGCTTAACTTTACAGTACATTTACTCTACAATGCTTAACTTTGGCTAATAGACTTGTATATATGCAGAAAAAAAAAATTTGAAAAATTAATTCTGTAAACAATGGCTAGCCTGGTGGAAGTCAGCTTGTAATGGGGTAAAAAGAAAGAAATGAGTTAGGCATCAAAGCTTTACACTATATAAGCCAAAAAGCTTACCCATGACATGATCCATTATTAAACCCGATTTGAGCTTTATAGACCTACTTTTCTTGCGGAATGTCTGAAACATGAAATACTTGCCTATAAGATTAGTAGAGCATATCGAAGGGTAAATTGGATTATCATTGTGGTAATGATGTAAATTGGTGGTGAAGTATATATATATATTTTTTTTAAAAAGAAAAAAGGTTTCATGTTAAAGGCTCTACGTACCAATGTATGGGTTAAAAAAAAAAAAAACCATATAAGTACGTGTGATGTTTTATGTATCGTGATTGAGTAACTCGAGTTAGTAAATCCGTAGGGGTATCTTAAAACCTAGTGCCTTGGGCCAATTGGACCGGGAGTCACTGGTTGAAAGCTCGCTACATGGGTTACTTGACATGTACATGACATTAAGAGTCGTGAAACACAAGTCAAAAAAAAAAAAAAAAAAAAAAATCACGAAGTTTGAAGGGCTTGTTATATGAGTTCTTATATGGCGGTTGTGGTTTTGTATATGTGCTCTGCTAATCTTAATTCTTCTTCCCACATTCCGAAATGTTCTCTAAAACCTCACTTTACCTCGGCCCTGTTCTATCCTTGATTCAAGTCCTGAGGATCTTTGATTTACTCCACTACAGTGTTGACGGAAGGTAGGCTGTAATTGTTTTAAGAGTTGATAGTTGATTTTGTAATCATAAAAATGATTTGCCCCCTGCATATATACTTGACTTGACGCTGGTATTGAGCAAAGTAGAGTGATTATTACAGAATGCTTAGCTGGTTTGATGTGTCAATATATTTGGCTTGAAATTGTAATTGAGCAAGAGTGGAGTAATTGTAACATGTCAGGTTGCATACTATTATATCAAGAGTCTAACTTCTCTGTAATTTCATGTCTTTGCTTGAGGACAAGCAAAATAATAAGCTTGGGGGAGTTGATGGAGTTATAAAAGTATATTATTTAATTTTATTAAACTCTCGATTTTATATTGATATTTAATGGTTTAATGATATACTAAGTGATTTTCTTCCCAAGACACAATTTACTACTATTTTATTTATTTGGTTGTAGGAAGGAAGATTACGATAGCAAAGTGATATTTTATTACCGCCCGGATTAAACGAAGCAAAGCTCACAAGCCTAATCAACTCACATGTGTGTCAACCCAATAATGTTTCATAGCAAATAGCCAAGTGGACCATGAACTCATGAAGTACACCAACTGGCTACTCAGTCAAAACAAAAGAAAAAAAAGAAGAACAAGAGAACTCCTCTCATTGTTTATTGCAGGTAAGGCACAAATAAATCTTGAGCGATTTTTGCGGGAAATAAAATTGTCAAGCAAGAAGAGATAAAGATGAAATTGGATAATAATTGGAGGGGGAGATTCGGATTAGCCGGAGATCGGCTGCAACAAAACAAGAAAAGCAATAGAGTCCCGTATTTTTGGGGATTCTGGAGATTAATTTGGGGATTACTCTGGGCAGCGAATTACGGAGGAGAAAACCGAATTGCATGATAGAGGGGGCTGATACTTGACAACTTGGGAAAAAGAGAGCAGCGACAACGGCGAGCTTATTCTCTTGGTGGTATTAGCTAAGTTGATTGTTAGTTACTTAATTTGGTAATACTATAATTTTGTTTTAAGAATTGAAGTGAAAAAGTCACGTTTTGCTTCTTACTTTTCACCATTTTCGTGGTTGGTATTAGAATTTGATTACTTAGTTTATCAAGTTTTCATTTTCAATTACTTTTTGCTTTGTTAATTATGAATTCCATAGTTTCTACTTTTGTTCTTATTCTTAGTATGTCAGGCTAGAGTTGTCGTGGGTACGGAGATATAGTATACATTGGATTATGGTTGTGAGAATAAGAATGTGGTAATTTGATAGTATAATGTTTATTTCTTGATTGGTTTGATAATATATTTTATTAGTATGAATTGCCAGATTATATTATAGACAGGCCATCTTTAGTATAATTTGTTAGTTTAATTGCTAGAGTACTACCGTGTGATACGTAATTGTCCGGGTTAGTATTCCTTAGTAGCACTTAGGTATTTGATAGGTGACTGAAACTTGTCCGATGTCTAAGATTATCAACCCTTTGAGTTGCACAAATCCGAGCTTGTGAGATTTGTGGCTTAAGTTAACTTTCCTAGTTATTAATGCTACTAATTAATCGAGTCTAGAGAGCTTGTTCTAGATTGTTAGTTAGTTAGACAATACTCCAAGAGCTTGTTTGGTTTATTTACAATTAAGGGAAGTGTTGAATGTTTGTTTGTGTTCATCGGCTAACATTGAGATAAGAACATAATTTTTATAATTCGATGATCAACAAATACTCCAATGCTATAATATGTCTCCCGATCCCTGTTTTATTATTATTGATTTTTATCATATTTCAATTTTAGTAGTCTTTCTTTCGTACTTTATTTGTCCCATAGTTCATAGTAGTTTATTTATTAGATCGTAGTACTATTTCTTCATAACAGGGGTTTCTAACTTACACAAGTTATAATTTAATAAATCAATTCTCTGTGGGATCGACCCTAGCTTACCCTACTACATTTTAGGAGGTTGGAGTTAGGTTTATTTTTGGTAGACACGCGACAGCCGTACCACTTACGCACTTTGTCTATAGGTTAATTTCAATTATTAAGCAGAATCCTTCGATAACTATATACTTCCATAACTTCTCACGATTCGATGGAATTTTCTTGGTGAAGCACCTAGCGTTACATAATTCCAATTTTAGGCTAAAACCTCTGTTGAGGAAAATATCTACGAGATAGCCGTCTATACAGGTAATAGACTCTTATTCCGCAGGAGAGACTCCTTGCATCTACTCCCTGGAAAGCTACATGTCCTAGCTAAGAATCTATGCAAGGGAATTGGCGGGAAAGGCTCTATCGCCTATGATGAGGCAAGCCTTGAAAATTTTCTTATTAAGAAAAAAGAGTATATCGAATATATGAAAAATGACATTTTTGGTGAGGTTGTGCAAAAAGCCCAAGAGTTATATTGGAAGAACTACAAGATCGACATAGAATGCAAGGTAACTCTTTCTTCAGTGGCTCTAACCATCTTTCGTATGAAGTACTTCGACGTTAACTCCCAACAAGCACCGGGTGACGCGAAAGCCGTTTTAGTTAGTCACTAAAGCCGTTTTCTTACTCCTTATGTAATGCATGATTTTTCGATGCCTGGAGGTGAGCCTGAGTGGCATGGAAATCTGGGTGATAAGGACTTAGATAGCCTCTTTAGCTTTATTGAGGTATATGTGGAATGCCCTGAGACTATAGTGAGGAGTTAAAGTATGCAAGAGACATAGGCTACACTGTGATCCCGCTCTCAGGCTACCTCTTCCAGAAGAAGGAAAGCCCGTTCAAGGACTATGTTAGCACTATTTATATATAATAGAATATTAAAGGCTAAGAAGGAAGGAATTGAAATGACGCCCTTGCCTAAGAACCTTTTGAATTGGTTGTACGAAAGGTTTGGAATTAACCCTAAAAGTACGATAACCTTGATCTGCAATGACAATAAATAGAACATATTTTTGAAGAAGGATTCATTTATAAACGGTCATAAGCTTAAAGGAAACAATTTGGTGTTATGGTACCATAATAATATGGAGGAAGCATCTTCGTTTAGCAACTCCTCCCTTCTCAAGTGCTCTTCCTCTCTTCTCACTTGCTGGATGAGTTGTTCTTGTTCCTTCTCGAGATCCAAGATCCGTTCTATGACTGGCTCTATTGGCATGCCCCGCTCTTCGCGCCAGCACACTTGGTGTTCGAACTCAGCAAACTCACCCTCGATTTGATCAAGTCTCTTTTGCAAAAGTTCTATCCCTGAGGAGTGATAATAGTAGCGGTCTTCATGTTTCACGGCTGGAACAGCGGCATTCACCGTAGCAGTTTCGTTTAATGAAGGTGCAGCAGTGGTATTGTCAGCATTGGAGACCCTTTTCTTTGTCTTTTCCGGGATCTGTAGTAGCTTAACCTTAAGGAACGTAGTCGATTAAGCGAAGCTTTTGGTATGTAATCGCTTATGTTAAGCTTAAGGGAAGAGAAGGCTAGATCTAACAGATAATAGTGGCATTCTTACCTAGGAACTAGAGCAGATGCAAACCTTTCATCCATTGTCTTATCGTCTTATCTTCCTAGTTATATCTACCTGTAGTTCCAGGAAGCAAGGGAGCTATGGAAGAGCGTAGGAGAGAGAGCAAGGAGGATTTATCATCATTTGTAGAAGGAAAGGATATACCATTGACTTTGGGTGATGGGACTTCTTTACCAAAGGGTAAGGTTTTAGGTCATATTTATAGTTGTATTTTATATAAAGGTGAGTCATACGTGGGGGAACTAGTGCCTAGAGTCGGGATTCGCTTCTACACGGAGGTGGGTAAAAAGATAGAAATTCTATCCGTTTCTTCTGATGACAGAACTAAACAACTGGAAGAGGCCCTTCATAATCAAGTAGAGGTCGGTTCTTTGCCAACGATTACACCTAAAAAGATAAGAAATCGTAAGAAAACATATTACAGCAGTATAACTCCTGTTAAATGCAATTCTAAGGGGTTAAACCCGTTCTTGGTTGCCGACACTGAGACTTTTTTACTTAATGAAATTCACCAACCGTATGCTACCGGTGTTATGACGGTTCATCCTAGTGATAACATCAAAAACAATAGTCGAATCGATTCATACTTCAACGAGGATTACACTTTAGAAGTCTTCAAAAGCTTTCAAGCAAGGAGCTCTAAGTTACTCAGCGACTTTATACATAGGATTATTTCAATTATTAAACAAAACCCAGCAATACAAACCGTGTACTTCCACAACTTCTCACGATTCGATGGGATTTTTATCCTGAAGCACCTAGCGTTACATCATTTCAATTTTAGGCTAAAACCTCTTATGAGGAATTAATAATAGAATTTATGAATTACTGTATACGCAGGTAATAAAAGAATCTTTAGCTTTCGTGACTCTCTGCATCTCCTTCCTGGAAAGCTAGATAGCCTTGCTAAGAGTTTATGCCCTGGTCTTGGTAGTAAGGGTTCTTTTGATCATAAAAAAGTGACAGTCGAAAATTTGGGTAAGATGAGAGCTAGCGTGTTAATGTATATGGAGCAAGACATACGTCTTCTTGGGGGTGTATGTAATGCAAAATTCCTAAAGGTTGTATTGGACACACTACAAGGTGGACATTGTGAGCGCGCTCACTTGTTCAGCTATGGCTCTGAAAATCTTTCGCAAGTAGTTTTACAATGATCAATCATTCCCAATCCACATCCCTAATCAGAATGAAGATACCTTCATTTGTTGTGGATACTGTGGAGGTCTTACAGACGCTTACAAGAAATTGGGTAGAAACCTATTCTACTATGATGTGAACTCACTCTATCCGTTCATTATGAAAAAATGTCCCATGCCAGGAGGTAAGCCAGTCTGGGATGGTAATCTGGTTGATAAGGACATAGACAACCTATTTGGATTTATAGAGGCTTTTGTGTCATGCCCTTCTTAAGTCAAAAAACCTTTTCTCCCCGTTCGGGGAAAAGATGGTACACTTCTCTTCCCCACGGGTGATTTGGTTGGTGTATACTATAGCGAGGAGTTAAAGTATGCAAGAGACATAAGCTACATTGTGATTCCAGTCAGTGGGTACCTCTTCGAGAAGAAGGAAAGCCTTTTCATAGAATATGTGAATTCTCACTTTGATAGTCGATTACAGGCAAAGAAAGATGGAAATGAAGCTTTGTTATTTGTTTATAAAATCCTTATGGTTTCGCTCTATGGAAGATTTGGTATCAACCCAAATAGCACTAAAACGGAGTTATGTGATAGCGAGCGCTATCACTTTTTAATGAAACAAGATTCCTTCATTAGTTTTCATCCGATTATAGAGAACCTATACATGGTATCCTATCATACTGTTACGGCTGATGATAACATTCATTGGGCTCAGCCTAAGAACTCTGCAGTTCAACTTTCCGCCGCAATCACTGCATGCACTAGGATCTACATACACCCATTTACATCAAAGGATGACTGCTACTACATAGACACAAACTTTATTGTTCTTGCCAATCCTCTTCTAGAGGGCTTAATATCTTCCAAAGTCTTAGGGTTGTTTAAATTAGAAGATAAAATCAAAGAAGGATACTTTTTAGCGCCAAAAGCATATGGCTATATTTCCGAAGAAGACACAAATGTAATTAAGTTCAAAGGACCAGCAAAACACCTGGTGGATATTTCTTGGTTTAGAGAACAACTCGCTAACCCTTCTCGTAGGATGAAAGTCCAAATCAAAAATGAATTCGAGATTGATTGGGACAACCAGACTGTCGGTGTTAAAGAATATGATTACAATTTGGGGATTAAACTGAACAGTAAGAGGATTACTCAACCTGATGGAGAGACTTTACCCATTGAAGTCAATGATATGTGTGGGGTAGCCAAATCACTTTTTAAAAAGCTAATGAAACTGTAGACAATGAATACTAAGTTGTTGAATAAGCTTTGTTGATAAAATATCTCATTAATGGTGTAAACAATACTTTCCAGTGAGCTTTCTCTCAAAGCTCTCCCACCTTTCTTGATGGGCATTCCAACAAAGATTCTCGCCGCATACAGAATGACAATAGCCATAGTAGTGCTGTTTAAAATGCGAGACGTTAGCATTCCAAACTTTAAGTCTTCGTTTGTCATTTCTAATGTCCTCCAGTACCTCCAGACTAAAGAACTTATTTAGCCTTTTGGCTAGAGATTACACTCTGACAGACATCCTTTTCTGTCAAAGAATTATCCTCACCCGCACTTTCTCTATAGGGATTGAAATAAGATTCATCCAAATCATATTTCTGTATCTTTTCTCCTGACCGGGTCAAATATGTGAAAACCTTCTCAGTAGAATAGTAAACTTCTCATCTAAGTCAATAGAAGCGGCAGATGCTTTCTCTCTTCACGAGTCGTCTGGCTCTAGACTGACCCACCTTTTCCTACCCCCGAGCCGGCTACAACTTTATCAAATCATTCCTTTTCGCGCACTACTTCACTTAACGGGTTATGCTACCTGTGATTCTAGGAAGTCGGGGATTCCCTTTGCTATTTATTCTTCCTGTTCTTCGGGTCTCATCTCAGCGGCTAATTTTTAAAGAAAAAAAAGAGAAAAAAAAAGAAGTGGGATTATAAAAGAAAAAAAAAAACACCCATATTATACAAGAAAAATAAAAGAGAAAAGCAAAGTGAGAGAGCTAGGAGAATCGAACAAGTGACCATGTGTGCTATCATGTACTACCTATATACCACTAAAGCAAGACCATTTATGTGAAGTTAATATTCACTTAATAATACTCATACGATAAATTTACAGGGGCCCAAGTTAAAAAATTATGGGCCACGCGGCTAGGCTACGGGGTCGGGCCCCTACTAGCCCACCTTGTAGCTCCGCCCCTGGTAAGAACACCAATGGAAGCCCCTACAAAGATTAACAACTGAGACCAAGAGGAAAAGAGATGGTAGTATGGAGAAAAAAGGGAAGAAGAGAGAAGGAAAACCTTAAAAAAAAAAATAAGCAATGGAGGCTAGGAATACCCTCCCAAGAAAGAAACTCTAGAGGAAACAAAAAAAAACCCTTCCAAGGAGAAAACCTAGAAGGAACCACTCTAATTTATGTGGTTTTTTTTTAAAAATAAAGTCTAATGCTTCACTAATCTTGACATTAGTATAAGTATAAAAAATAATGGTGTACATACCATTATTGTTGAATTAGTCATGCATGCAATTTTTACAATATACTCCGTTAAATTTTAGTAACAAATGTGCGTTGCACGGGACTTAATCTAGTTACTACTATAAAGAAGCAATAAAATTACAAAATTAAAAAATTTTGCTGTAGCCAGGATTCAAACCTGGATCTTTGCTCATAAGATTTAGCCAATGTGCTACTGCAGCTTCTTTGCTGGATATTTTCAAACAAAAAAAATTATACGATGTATAATATTGGATGATAACATACAAAAATAAAAATTTTGTTACAGCCAGGAGTCGATCCTGGATCCGCATAATAAGATTAACCAATGTGCTACTGCAGCTTTAACTGTGATCAAAGTTAGCCCGACCCACCCGATTTTGGGCAGAATTTTTTGCCCCGAAATTGAATTGGGCTCGGCCCGCCCCAATTTTTTTTTTTGTACGGGTTTGGAAATGCGTTTTTATGCATATTTAGTTGGTTTTTTAGGCCTGTCCCGAAAAGCCTGCACGGCCTAACCATTTTGGGTGGGTTTGGGCACAAAAATTCCGGCCCGAAGCTTGGCCCAGTCCAACCCAAGAAGTGGACATAATTTTTTTAACTTTGGCCTACCCTGACCCGCCCAATGATCACCTCTGGTTTAACTGTTAAATTCTTACGATCAAATATATTTATATTATGTTATCAAAAAGTTAAAATCCGAATGCAGTAGAATTACATTGAAAGGAAAGGATTTCATATTTTCATGAATAATCAAACATTTCCAGAAAAATTGATTTCAAGGTATTTTCTTTCCCAGGTAAATCAATGTTTGTCTTAATTTCATTCAAATTCACATTAATTTTTTCAATTTTTACAAGTTTTTCCCCAGATTTAGGGGTTTAGTAGCCTTGAATTAAAACAAAATCTAATGTAATGGCAATACAATTAGTCAAATTCATGTTAAAATTCTCAAATTCTGTTTCATTTAGTTCAAATTCAACAGTAAGAACAATTTCATCTGTACAATATGTAGCATCTAGGGCAAGAGACCCAACATTTGAGAAGTATATGGATCATTACAAGAAGCTTGTTAAAGTAATTGCTATTCAAGACTTAATCTTGGCAAACCCTAACAAAAACCCACCTTCAGTTTCGGTTGATTTCTTGTCTAGGTTGTCTCAAAGACTACACCTTAACAGGGGTGCACCGTCGTTTCTTCGTCGGTACCCTCATGTTTTTGAGATTTTCTATGACCATACTAAGTCTATGCCTTATTGTAAATTGACTGATAAAGTGGTTGAGATTGCTAAATTGGAGGCGGGTGCGATTAATGAGTCTTTGTCATTGGTTGTGGAACGATTGGTTCGAGTGTTGTTGATGTCGGTGTCTAGGTCAGTGCCGTTGAGGGCGGTTTTTAAAGTGTGGAGGGAGTTGGGTCTTCCTGATGATTTTGAGGAGTCTGTGATTGCAAGGAATCCTCAGTTGTTCTTGCTTTGTGATGGGAATGAGCCTAATACCCATGTTTTGAAGCTTGTTGGTAGTTACTCTAGTGATCATTTTACTGCTGCTGTGGAGGATTGGCGAGTTTTGGAGTGTTGTAAGGAGGATTCAAAGGTTGATAGGACGGAGATGCAATATAGTTTTAAGCAAGGGTTTCCACCTGGAATGAAGTTGAAGAAGACTTTTAGGACAAAGGTTAGGGAATGGCAGAAGTTGCCATATGCTGGGCCGTATGAGGTTGTAGGAGAGAAGAAGAGAGCAAAGATTGGTTTAAAGGGGTTGGAGAAACGAGCTGTTGCTATTGTTCATGAATTCATGAGTTTGACTGTTGAGAAGATGGTGGAGGTGGAGAAGATCAGTCATTTCAGGAAGTGGTTTGGGATTGATTTGAATATCAGGGATCTATTTTTGGATCACCCTGGGATTTTTTATTTATCCAACAAAGGGAAGATGCATACAGTTTTTTTGAGAGAAGCTTATGAAAGGGGACGATTGATCAACCCAAATCCTGTTTATGAGGCCAGGATGAAGCTTCTTTATCTTATTATGATGGAACGTCGCGGAATGTTAACTATGACTCAAGAGTCAGTCAATGAGAAAGGTGATGTGCAAGACAAAGACGATAGACAGATTTCTGCCTCTTCAGTTTTAGACAATAATGGCACAGATAAATGATGTCAGAGCTAAGATGGTGGGTACATGCTTATCTGTTTCCATCTTTTTTATCATTCTAATCTAGACAACAATAGTTGATTACAATTTGAAATTAATCTGATGAGTTTACTACTGTCTCTTTAGGTTAAAATGCTTGACTGATATTGGTGTGGACAGATCTCTTTTATCTTTAGCTGATTACATTTCACATTGCAGCATTTCATCAAAAACCTTATTGTTATACTTGTATTATACAATACTGACTCTGTATATTCATGAATCATGATTTCATGCTGAAATTTGTAATTTGTAACAATTCCAGCTTTCTATCTTCTGAGATTTAGTGCAATATGTGACGCATATTTTGACTTTGTGAGTTTTTATTCGTTTATTACGGCATCAACTTCACATCCTTATGAGATGTATATTAATTTTGAGGTATTAACATATCATTATTTCAAATTGGTTACTTAAGTATTGTCTTAACAATTTCTTATTATATTATGTAGAGAAATGTATTAAAGATTTTGGTAAAAGCATGCAAGGATGATTAGAACTGGTTACTTAATGTATTCCCTACAGATAAGATTGTTTTTTGTTACTCTTACCCCCTCTTTTTTGGTTGGGGAGAGGGGGTGGGGAAAATATCATACATTTGCTATATTAGCTATATTAAAAAAAAAAAAAAACCTGACATGTCTTCATTAGAGACTACTAGGTCATAAATGATCACATATTCATCTAGTTATATATATGTTCCAAATAGCTTGTATATCCTACTTTTGTAATGCTGCTTTTACAGTGGGATTTTATCGCTAATAGTGATATGAATTCTAGCGAACAAAAATTTGAGGGATGTTATGTCAAATCATTTCCGCCCTTAGATTGGGGATGGGGGCAATTTTGAAAGGACTGTTAGATTGTACTTTCCCTCATGAAGTTGAAGCGAATTTGAACTGTATGGTTTTGTTCTGTGGTGGATGCTTTGTATGTTTAAGAAATACTTGAGTTCAAGTACCATTTGTGTTGCTTTTAAAACTGTTTTGTTTAACTGTTGATGTATGCTGCTGCAGATCAAAATGTTGGATTACTGAAAACATGAGGTTGGCAATGGAGCCTGTTCAATTTATTGTCACAGCTCCTAGTGAAAATTCCATTACATTGGAGTTTCAGAGGGTGATTCGCAGATGAGTAGAAGTCAATATTTGTGGCCCAACAATCCAGAAGTATATCAAGACTTGCAGAAAGTGGATACTGAGATTACTGACCTATCACACCTCTTGTGCTTATGCATGACATTCTTGATAGGTGAGCAGATGAATGATCATGTTTGTGAATTTGTACCTGCAGATTGTTTCATTTTCTGGTTTTGATTGTCAGCTGCATAAAGATACAATGTGATCCATTTTACTCAGTGTAGATTTATTCTGTCTCGCTTTGTTCTTTCAGAAATGATTGTCTTCTACATTTTTCATTTTGACCATGGTTACCATGGATAGCTCATGAATTTCTCATTGTTTGTCTGCATAATATCATTAGCTTATCTGCCTCACAAACTTCAGTTTGATGCTGATCATTTTTCAGGAAAAGCAGTCAATAAAATTCGATACTGTGTCATCCTTTTGTTAACTGTACTTATGGGAATGAATATTTTGATATCTTAACATTTGGGATCTGAACTTTAAAATCTTATCGTTTGGGACCTAAAGTTGGATACTTGGATGTATGCCTTTGATTTTCTCTCTTCTTTTAATTCCTTTTCCCAATGGTTAGATTGATGGTGAGGAGAGAGATCGTTGTAGGAGGAAAGAGTGGAGGAATGTTTAGCTGAGAGAAGAGAGAAAAGGTTTTGATTGGTAAAATCCGGTCAGATTGCAAATAAAGTTGTATTAATTATTTACAGAATGGTTCTTGCTGAAATATCTACTCTTTAGTCTCAACTCTCAAATTACTTGCTCAGTAAGCAGTTGGCAGAGTTGGTACAATTACAGTGAAAAAATACAGAGAAAAAGGTAGAGAGGGTAGGCCTAACTTTACTGACATTTTAGAGGAAAAGCTGACCATTAAAGGATGGGGGAAGTATTTGAGTTACTCTGAAAAGGGAAATGGTGCGAGTATAGTGAGACAGTGAGTATTTTTTGTAAAAAGCTCTGAATACTAATTGTGTTTGCTGAAATTCACTGTATGTATTATGCCTTTATGTGTAAAACATATGATTTGGTTGTGCTATGTTTTCTTATTGATGATGGTACAAATTTTAGTGTTCAGTCCCCAGTTTTAATACTTAGGGGATTGGTCGCAGTATTTGGATATGACTAGTAACTGAAGTTTTATTAGATCTCGAAGAATTTAAAATTTTACCCCGTCCAGCTTCTGGTGAAAATCATTCTTTCTTGGTATTTTGGTCTAAATAAAGCCCCAAACAATTGAGCTTTTTTACTTTGCACTGTTTTTGTTGTTTAGTCTACATTCAGTAAATATGATGAGGGTTGATCCAATTTCCCCTATTCTTTAATTACAGGAGCCAACTTTGTCTGTTACTCCTGTGAAGTGGCTGGTGTAGTTCATGGGAGCAAGAAGCCAATCATTTCTCTTCCCAGGAATTATTCCTGCATCTGGTCAGTGGTTTTTTCGTAGATATTCCTGCCATTGCCCATGCATCAGTTCTTCCTCAATGCAGTCTACGGACAAGGACATCAATGAATAAGTTTACCCTAGAGATCCGTATTGTGATCCAAAGGATGGTAGTGCTTTGATTCGTAACTTAGTCATGTGCCAAGGCTATCTAAATCACACATTGACTTGGTATGTGTTCTCCATTTGGACACTTTGTTATGCTTGCACTTGAAGCTTTACGTTTGAATCTCCTCAAGTCCTCGAGGCAATATTTATTTTGCTTTTTTTTTTTTTTTTTTTTTTTTTTAATTTTTTAATTTTTTTTTTTAAAATCTACTAGAGTATATACCTGGTGCTAATGCACAAGGTGTATCAATCATATAAGAAACTTATATTAGAAAAGAAAAAATAAATAAGATCAACATTAGTTATTGTTTGGAAGTTATCTTCAATTATAATTTTTTCTCTTGGGTAGTTATTTATTAAGTTATGAAAAGTTGTATAAGAAGTTTATTGGAAGGATTGCATATAAATTCACCATTAAGATTTTTGGAGAGATTTGGTGATAGCATACTCTATTACTTCGTATCGTAGAAGAGTAGAATGCTTATTAACTTGCAAAGATAAACAATGTTGGAAGTTATGGGAAATTATTGGCTTAAGATTGCACATAAATTGAGGATTACAGGTTTAGAGAGTTGTGATTAAAATTTTGAACTATTGACCCGCATATTAGGGCTTCAGTGTTTTGCACCTCGACCCTCTTAGGATCAATTTTCATAGAGATGTGCCATCTCCTGGAAAACACTTTTTATTCCACGATCAACATACTAAAACATCTTAATAATATAAAAACCTCAACCTTTATTTTTCCCTATCAGCTCACTTCCTCAACCTATATCAAATGTTACACTTTTCATCAAGTTCCTTTATCAACAACACAAAAGATAACACACACGACCTCTCAAATTCTCACATTTACATCTTCTTATACAATTAACATTTCACATAGACATTCTATTGCCAATTGAGATCACAATTAACATAAAAACCTTAGGCATCGAACCAAGGAGGTCAGCCAAACTTCACCGTCCACTGGCTTTATGGTTTGAAACAAGCAGGCAGACAATGGTTTGCCAAATTAATTTAAGACTTGAAGATGCGAGACTATGATTAATCCCAAGACGACAATTTCTTACTTAAAAATGGCATATCACCTTCGATGCAGTATATGTAGATTATGCAGTTCTACAGGACTTAGCTGAAATTCAGAATCTCAAGGCTCGTCTGCAAAATGCATTCAACATTGAAGCCTTGGAAAGTTAGGATGCTTGAACTATCTTCTTGGTGTCTGGTTTAATTATGTGGTTGATTTGTATACACTTAAACCAATGGCTACACCATTACCTTAGAACAAGTTATATGCAGAATAATGTGACTTGTTTCAGGATCTACCCCTTTTTAGGATCCTTATTTGGAAGTTGAATTTCCTCATAAATGTTGGCCTAATCTTGCTTATAGATTTCATATATACCCCGGAGTCAGTACATGCATCAACCAAGGAAACCGCATTATAACAATTTAGTGCATGTTCTCAATGATGTAGCAACAGCAGCATGAAAAGGCATCAACTGATGGCAACTGATCAACTCTGATTATTAGCCTTCTGAAGTCCTGATAGGGAATAATGTCCTAATCTATGTTACTCGAACTCTTCATTTTACCTCAAGTACCTGTGTCGAACCCTCGACACTCGGATATGGGTGTGACACTTGGACACTTCATTTTAGTTTAAAATCATTGATTTTTTTTTCACAAAATAGCTGAGTCGGACACTTGGACGCGTACTTGTGTCGAACATGGGTACCCGAGTCCGAGTAACATAGGTCCTGATTCCAAAAGGTTAGTAACATGTTATCTAATTCTTCTTCACTTGAATCAGCTGAAAATCAAAGAATTAGAACACAAATTCCATGTATTCCTTCGAAGTCGAGTACAGAGCAATGGTATTGCAGCATATCTGAACTTACATAGATGGTGCATTTAATTGAAGGGATTGGGCTGGCAAATCTCTATGAATCCAAGATTCTTGTGTTCCATGGCAATATTTTTAAACAAATACATAGATATTGACTATAGGTTCAGATGTTCTCACCTGGCTTATGTATAACAAAGGTGCTTCCATCACCTCAGTTAATTGTGATAAAGTCCAAGGTAGGCAATTGTTTCAGGCCTTAGCTTTAATGGCTTTTTGGACTATGCAATTAGTCAAAGTCGGCATACTCGGCATGTCCAACAAGATTGCAGGCTGATGATCTAGTGAGATCTACGTAATAGCAACCAGGGGATCAAAAAGTCATCGGCAGAAGTTTAGTTTGAAGGTTTTTTTTTATTACGGATGCAATGTCAACACAGTTTGTTAGATGATTGTTATGGCATTTAGTAATAAGGCTTAGATAGATTTATATACTCTGATCTGTGTCTCACTCGAGAATCTATTCAACGTGTCATTAAATGGCACCTGAAGTGTCTCACCCTAGTATTTATTCAATCTGTTTCATTACATGGCATCAGAACTGTATTAACTGAAATCTTTCTCTGCTTACAGTAATGGCATTTGAGTTGCAAGAAGACAGTGATTATAGCTAGAAATTCTTATCTTATCTTTCTCATTAAGTAGTTGATTTGGTATTGACATGTGAATACATGAAAAGATGATTTCCATTGAATCAAATATACTTACAATTATTTGATTATCACTAACACGTAAAGGTGGAGAAAGTCGATTGCTAGTGTAGCCACCATAAGTGGAACTTTTCTTAGGAAATAGAACTTCTTATGCTAAACCAAACAAGAAGTAAATTTTCGTGAGAACTGCAACTTCTTTCGAGGAAATGTCTAAGCAAATAAGCACTTAATTTTTATTTTATTTTTTTAACAAACCATACAAGCACTTAAAACTATTTTATTGTACTCTAATAACATTATGGCCACATTAGGAATTCCTTCGTGAGGATTGTTTTCTAACGTTCTTTTTATAAAATACTCCGTATGAATAAATAAAACACTAATTAAATCAACAAATGATACAGACTTGGTTGCCCTGGCTGTGAAAATCGACGTGGTCTTCACCACTACAGATCAAACCAACAATGTCTAATCTAAAATATTAACAAATAGAGCCATACTAGTAGTAATCAAAGAATCAAATAATGATAAGGTACATACTTACGATATCATGTACTTCATCAAATTGATATAAAATTACAAAATATTATTTGATATCAAATTTATTTATTCTTTTGAGTTTAATTAATTTGGTAGGTCTAAATTAGAAATGAAAAATGCATGAAAATGCCCGCTGAATTACACATCAATGACAACTACAATTAACAAACTAAGGGAATCTGTAAACCATGTCAAACTATCTGCCTTCTACATTTGAGTATTTATGTAAAGTCTACTCATCATTACCTTACCATACATTACTCTCTCTATCTCTCTCTCTCTTGTTGACAACGTAGCTGATCATTTTTAGTTTTATACTTATTTCGAGCTTTATCAACAACAGCTATTGATTCTAATTTTCATTACGAGTACTTCCTTTGTTTATACAGTATATGACAATTTTTATAATTTTACACTATTTACACACCTTTTTCATGATAACACTAAGAAACATATAACTAGTCATTGTATAAACTTTTAAATTATCAAATTGTTACTTCTGTACAACTTTAATTGTATAGCTATAGTCTTTTTTTCAAAAAAATTAATCACTCACTCTCTCTCTCAATCCATTAGTCAATTGTCATAATGACCTCTTGTAAGGGTAAAGGATTTTATTTAAAAAAATAACTAAAATAAATGAAGCGTCAAATGAAAATGTGCCATGGAGTACTTTTTACCAGTTTAATACGAGTACTTCGTAGGATCATTATGTGTTATTTAAAAGTTAGACTATTTAAAACGTCATTCATGATCTTGTTGGTATCAAATTTTTAAAATTCGTCATTATATTGAACTAAACTCAAAACTTTAATACGGAAGAACAATTTTGTATATTTTTGACATTTTAATATTAAGATATAATTTTCAATACAAGCACATATTGATAAGGGGTGTTTTTTTCTCTATGGAATCCTTCAATAGATGTATATGTATAATAAAACCACCCTTCAACATGTCGAGAAGGTGTACAAAGGCACATAATGTCTTTGACATTCAAGCAAGAAATGCAACAATGAAAAATTAATTAAGGTCAACATTACGAACATCCAAATTATGTCAAAAAAAAAAAATCCCAAATAATCCAATTGTGATTCTAAGACTGTTTTACTTATATTCTTTATAATCTACCATATAATTATGTGCGCATTATTGTTTGAATATCTCTTTTAATTTTTTAAAGGTGGATTTTCATGGAAAACAACAATCAATATTATGGAAATGGCAACAATACCAACAACAACAATAGTTGCAATAGATGACACAAATCTTGATTTTTCAAACTTGGATATGTTTTCCGTTACAAACATGGGTGAACTTCCTCATAGTGCATCTATGGACAATATTTTAGAAGAATTGTTGCAAGATACTCATACTTGTACCGATACCAATACTCGTGACTTAAGTGAAGATCGCAACCTTACACATGATGACATTCATTTGCAAACTAATGTGTTACATATGTCGTCTAATAATGAGGAGAAGAGTAGTGACAACGACGATTTTGTTCACATCAACGAATATAAAGGTAAAAAACGGAGAAGGAAAGATCAAGGATGTAATAATAAAGAAGCTGTACGCAAGTATCGAGAAAAGATTAAGGCAAGAGAAGCCATCCTAGAGGAAGAGATTCAAAAGTTAAAAGGATTCAAATCAACAATTGTTAAAGAGGCTAGAAGGTGAGCGCGCGTTGCATGCTGAGATTTCGGTGCTTAAGTGTTTGCTTGTTGATATACGAGGGAGAATCGAAGGGGAGATAAGCTCTTTCCGGTATCACAAACCATCTAATACTAGTTTTCATGGTTATGATCATAGGATCCTATGCAATGAACATTATGGAATTGGTGGAAAAAAGGTGCAATAAGATTCAGTGTTATATAATGGTGGTGAATCTATGAAGGTTAATTACATGAAGAGTCTAGGTACTAAACCGTCAAAAGACGTTTTTATTTTTGGAAAAGAATTGGACAACCTTTAAATTAGTTGTTCAATTGGCAAATTCAACCATTCAAGCACATAAATATTTTGATTGATGGAGGATGTAGGAGATGGAGGGATGCCCACAATTCCTATGATAGGGTGGAGACCCTTCCCCGTGTACCTTATTGATTAAAAAAAAAATTGATTGATGTTGTTCTGGTCTTATCTTGATTTTCAAATTAGAAATCCCATGTAGGTTATTAAAAACAAATAATAATAATACACACTTGAACTTATCATTTAAGGTTTTTATTTTTTTATTTTTTTATTTTTTTTTTCAAATTTAGTGATTATACGAGAAAGTATTGTGAGAAACTGGACTCATGCTGAGATGTATATAAGATATCAATTTATATTACCTCTATTTCTATATATTTGCAACATTTATCATAAATGGATACTACAAATTATTTGCAACAAATGTTTTCTTTTCTTTTATATTTGTCATTTCTTTTTATCTCTCCTCATCACATGCTACTTTATTTTTCACTCTCCATTTACCACTTACAAACAAATTTTACCCAAATGATGATCAATGCCACATCATTGCAAAGAAATTGAAACGAAGGTAATATACATTTAAACATCTTGATTTTTGAGATTTAGATATAAATTTTTTCAACATTTCTTATAATTTTTTTGAAAATTTCATATTAGTTATTTGTCATATCTGTTTTTTAAGGGCGGATGAACTCAAGATAAAACAATCTCACTCATTACTTTGTATATTTTTTAATTAATAAGTATAACAAAATTTGATTAGGTTACGTACATATATTCAAGATTCTTATATATTGAAATTTGAAAGTAATTTATAGAGTAAGATTTTCTCATATTGTGAAATTGTGAATAGCAACAAAATTCATGATAAGATAATCAATACTCT